TGTGAGAAGATGGGTTTTGAAAGGCATAGCAAGGCAAGAATTTTACTAAAGTGGATACTTTGCTATTTATATTATATTTTTAAATATAATGAGTTATAGTTATATAAAAAAATACTCTTTATTCTCTGGAAATTTATGAATAACTTTATGTATCATAAATGCACTATTAAATCAGCTAAAATGTTTTATATTTTCTTGAAGAAAATATAAAACATTTTAGTTTATTTAAAAGTTTAGTTTATTTTGTTTCATAAGTATTTTTAAAATGTTTCATAATTTTTTAAAACTTGTTTTATATTTTCTTAAAAAATGTTTTATATTTTTTTTTAAATGTTTGGTATTTTCTTAAAAAATGTTTGATATTTTCTTAAAAAATGTTTGATATTTTCTTAAAAAATGTTTGATATTTTCTTAAAAAATGTTTGATATTTTCTTAAAAAATGTTTGATATTTTCTTAAAAAATGTTTGATATTTTCTTAAAAAATGTTTGATATTTTCTTAAAAAATGTTTGATATTTTCTTAAAAAATGTTTGATATTTTCTTAAAAAATGTTTGATATTTCGCATAAACCCTGTAATTCGTCAACCATTTTTTCAAACTAATTTTGGAAAATCTAGTATTTCTTTTCGAGGAGCTTTTCTTTGGAACAAAATAGTGTAAAACATTTTAATTTTTCTCTGCAATAGAGTTATTTTTCATTCAGAAATAAGCTTAAAGAAAACATTTTGTCTCATGATGATATATTGTCATATTTTTAAACGTTATTAATTTGATGTATTTTTTTAGTTTATTCAGTTGAATATTTATAAGAACATGCACTTAAATGTGATTAACTATATATGAACTTGACTTTATATATATATTGAATTTTATGAAGTTTTAATTTACGAGCGGTTCTTGGTGACAAGACCTAATGGTCTTCTGCGAGATTCCGCGTTCTTTTTATATTAACAAAAATATCTTAGTTTTATCTTTTATTTATTTCTTATTGAGTAACGTTTTTAACAATCTAATTGTAAATTTTTCTTTACGATCTAATTGTAAATTTTTCCTAATTGTAAATTAATTAATTTTTTTTATTTTTTTTCTTATTACAATATATTCAAAGAAAAATTAATTAATTTTGTAAATTAATTAATTTTTCTTTGAATATATTGTAATAAAAACAAAAAAAAAAAAAAAAAAAAATTAATAGTAGTAGGACTATTTTCTTTATATTAAATTATTGTAAAATATTAGCGTAAGTTTTTGCGTAAGATTTGCTTAACTCATGTGCAACCTTAACTTTACGCAAATGTAAGCGGTCGTGGCGCAGTGGTTAGAGCTCTTGCTTTATAATCAGGAGATCCAAGTTCGAAACGAGCTTTAGGGTCGTCCATAAACTACGTCACGCTGTAAGGGGAGGGGGGTTGGTAGTTTTGTGACGACTCATACAAAACTTACTTCTTAAGTGTGACGAGGGGGAGGGGGGGAGGTCAAAATCTGTCGAAAAATGCTTGACGTAATTTATGGACGATCCCTTTGGACATATTTTGCGTCACAGTAAAGGCGAGTTTCCACTCATCCGTTTTTTAACGGGAACGGGAGAAAAATAATAACGTGGGCATGCGTAGTATAAGTTTTAAAATGTCCAAAGGAAAACTACGCATGCTCAAGTGATTTTTCCCTTCTCCGTGAAAAAAACTTTTGTTCAGCTACGCAAGAGTTACGCATAAGTTGTGAGTCCGCACCCAGTTTCTTTTTTAATTTATTTTTATAATTTAAAGCGATATCGGAATAATTTACGCAAAATTTATATTAAATTATATTAAAAGTTATATTAAATTATATTAAAAGAATTTTGATATTTTTCAATTCAATGATTTTACAACAAAGAGTCCGATCCGGATCAAAGTTTTTTTAGCGAAACAGGTGCTTTACAAAGCAACTGCAGCTGTTTCTATAGTTATGAAATAAAAGAATTTCTTGAGCATGATAAATTTAATGCAGTTCATATAAATATAAGAAGTTTAAAAAAAAAATTTAAAAATCTTTGCAATAGTTTTGAGGAAAATTTAACTCTTTTTAGTGTAATATGCATAACTGAAACTTGGTGTAGTTCTAATGACTCAGGTTTAGATAATAAATTTAAAATACCGGGCTATAATTTGAATTCATTAGGACGGAAAACAAAAAAACGCGGCGGTGGTTTAATTATTTATGTAAAAGAAAACCTTCAGTATTATATTAGGCATGACATGAGTATTTCTGATGTCAATAAAAAGGTTTTAACAATTGAAATATTGAACAATAAAACTAAAAACATTGTGATAAGCTGTTGTTATCGCCCACCTACAGGCGAAATTAAAACTTTTAGTACATTTTTACAAGATGATGTTATAAATAAAAGCAACCATGAAAAAAAATTACTTTACATATTAGGTGATCTGAATTTAAATTGCTTTGAGTATCACGTCAAAAAAGACATTAATGGGTTTTATAATGGCCTATTTGAAAACGGAGCAGTTCCTCTAATAAACAAACCAACTAGAATTACTCAAACAACAACTTCCTTAATTGATAACATTATAACCAACGATACTTTTAATAATTCGCTTAAAAAAGGCATTATTAAAAGTGATATATCTGATCACTTCCTATATTTTTTTCAATTGATATTTATGCGAAAATTATATGTTATGAAAAAAAATCATTTAAAAAACGAATTTTTCATAATAAAAACCTAGAATCTTTTAAATATCAACTATCGTTAATTAATTGGGACATTATAAACTTTTCTGAAGACATTAGTTTAATATACAAATCCTTTTTTAAAATTTTTTATGAAATTTATGACATCAATTTTCCCAAAGTAGAAGTAAATTACAAATATAAAAAAATTGTATCGCCATGGATTACTAAAGGTATTCTAAAATCTTCAAAAATTAAGCAAAAACTTTATATTAAATATTTAAAATCAAAAACAACTGAGAGTAAAACTAATTATAAAAATTACGTAAGATTGTTTGAACGCCTAAGGAAAAATTCAAAAAAAATATATTTCACTAATTTACTTGAAAAATACAAATTAAACTCAAAACGCACTTGGCAACTAATGAACGAAATTACTGGTAACACTAAAAAAATATCGCAATCTTTGCCCTCAGTTATTAAAGTAGATGATAATCTTCTTCTTGATCATAAATCAATTGCTTCTGAATTTAATAAATATTTTGTATCTGTAGGACCAAACCTAGCCGAAAAAATTCCAAAACCTAAAAAATTAATAAAAGCAACATATGACCCTCTAAACTCGTATCTAAATTCTTTTGATTTGTCTTTTGAAGAGTTTGAAAGTGCTTTTAAATTGTTAAAGTCAAATAAAGCAGTTGGTCCTGATGATGTCAGCGGAAATATTGTTATAAGCTGTTTTGACGTTTTAAAAGACAAACTTTTTCAAATTTTTAAATGCTCTATTAATCAGGGAGTTTTTCCTGATGATTTAAAAATAGCAAAAATTATTCCTATATTTAAAGAAGGAGAAAAAACTAATGTAAAACACTATCATCCAATTTCCATCCTCTCTGTTTTTTCTAAAATTTTAGAAAGAATTTTGTACAACAGAATATACAATCACCTTTTAACAAACAAATTATTATATAACATGCAATATGGATTCAAAAAAAATAATTCAACAGAGCATGCAATTATTCAGCTTACAAGAAGTATATCAGACTCATTTAACAATTCTAAATTTACATTGGGAATATTTATTGATTTAGCGAAAGCGTTTGATACAATTGATCATCAAATTCTTATTAAAAAATTAGAATATTATGGTATAATAGGCAATGTTTTAAAATGGTTGAAAAGTTATTTAACTAATCGTAAACAATTTGTTTATGCTGATAAATCATTTTCATCAAATTTGTTAAATATTACATGTGGAGTTTCTCAAGGATCCATATTAGGACCTCTTCTCTTCCTTATTTATATTAATGATCTATACAAAGCCTCGAATTTAATAACAATTATGTTTGCTGATGACACTAATTTATTTATGTCTCACAAAAGCATTCCTACTTTCCTAACGTGAACATCGAGTTAATCAAAATATCTGACTGGTTTAAGACAAACAAACTATCCCTGAACATTGATAAAACTAAATGGATTCTTTTCCATCCTCTTACCAAAAAACATAAACTGCCAATTAACATGCCTCCACTTGTTATTGACAATATACAAATTAAAAAAGTAACAGTGACTAATTTTCTAGGAGTTTGTTTAGATGAAAATCTTACATGGAAAAATCACATTAAAAACTTATCAAGTAAAATTTCAAAAAGTATAGGAATATTGTACAAAGCGAGAAATGTCTTAAATAAACAAACTTTAGCACAATTATATCACTCATTTATTCATTGCCACATAAACTATGCAAACATTGCTTGGGGTTGTGCAAATAAAAACATATTTAAACCTCTTTATTGTCAGCATGTAGCACGTCTTATATATTTTAAAGATCGTTATACTCATGCCAAGTCTCTTTTATTTGAAATGAAAGTTTTTAATATATATGAGATTAATATTTTTAATATTCTTTGTTTTATGTTTAAATGCAAAACCAATTCATCCCCGATTTCTTTCCATAATTTATATTCATCAAAAGATAAAAATAAATACATTTTACGCAATAATAATTTTATTAAGCAGCCCAATTTTCAAACAAATCTTTTTAAATTTTGTATTGATTATAGCGGACCATTCTTATGGAAGAAAATAGTTTTAAAAAATTTTACTTTAGGATTTTATTAATCAAAGTAACTACTTTTCTTTTAAACAAAAGCTTAAAGAACTCATTTTTACAATCGATGATTTAACAGTTAGCTAATGGACTTTGATCGCTTTTTTAGTGATACTGTTTGCTAACCTCATGTTTATGTTGAAGGTAATACGGACGTATTAGGTACTCTTCTAACATCTATAACCCGAAAGCGCAACCTCGATTTGAGTTTTCTACTTAAGAGGTCCTGAGGTAACAATCACATGACACATTTTAGCTTGTTGTATGTAACTATGTTGTAGTTGGATATCTTAATTTAACAACAAAGAAAACTGATGCTCTGATGTCAGACTTTTTTTCTTGGCGACTATATTTAAAATGATTTATGCTTCATATCTTGTATTAGTTGGATTGTTTGTTTTTTTTGTCAGTAAGATATTGTGGAAGTTATGGAAAAGTTCATATGGTCTTGAAACAATTGCAACACCTCCGAATATACCGGTTTTTGGAACATCATTGTACTTGCATAGCGATGCGCGAAAATTTTTCTTTCAATTAAGCGAATTTACTAAAAAATATGGAACTGTGTTTTGCATTTGGTTAGGACCTAAACCAATGATTATATCTTCTTCTGTAAAGTTTTCAGAAGCAGTACTAAGTAGTCAAAAAGTTATCACCAAAGGATTTTCTTATGATTTTTTGCATGACTGGTTAAAAACTGGGTTACTTACAAGCACAGGATCAAAATGGAAAACACGTAGAAGGCTACTAACTCCAAGTTTTCATTTTTCTATACTTAATAACTTTATTAAAATATTTGAAGAGCAAGCATCCATTCTGGTGGACAAACTAGCTGTAGCTGCTGACAACAAGGAAGTTGTAGATGTGCAAGTACCTATTGGTTTGGCAACCTTGGATATAATCTGCGAAACTTCAATGGGTGTAAAAGTAAATGCACAAAGTCATCCAGATTCTGAGTATGTTAAAGCTATCACAGTTTTAAATGAAGAATTTTTAATGCGTATAAAATACCCTTGGCTTTGGTTTGATGTCATTTACAAATTATTGCCTTGTGGAAAAAGGTTTTATAAGGCTTTAGATGTTGCTCATAAGCTATCTTTTGATGTAATAAATGAACGTATGCAAATGAAAATTCGAGAATCTTATTGTGAGACTGCGTCAGATGAAAAGAAATTTTTTTTAGATTTGTTATTGGATATATATCGAAAAGGTGAAATTGACACTGAAGGTATTCAAGAAGAAGTTGATACTTTTATGTTTGAAGGTCATGATACAACTTCAGCTGCACTAGGTTGGACTCTTTGGTTGTTAGGAAAAAATCCAGACGTTCAAAGGAAGTTGCACAAAGAAATTGATGAAATAGAGTTAAATGGAGATTCACTTTATGATAAAGTTAGACAGTCTAAATACCTTGAAAATATTCTTAAAGAATCATTACGAATGCATCCTCCTGTCCCTATGTATGGAAGAACAGTTGAGGAAGATATGACTATTGATGATCAGTTTATTCCCAAAGGAGCACAAATTATTCTTTTAGTCCTAATGTTGCATTCGAACCCAGAATATTGGGAAAATCCAAATGATTTCATGCCTGAACGTTTTGAAGCTGATAGTTATGAAAAGCGCAACCCATACAGTTATGTACCTTTTTCTGCTGGACCAAGGAATTGCATTGGCCAAAAATTTGCCATGATTGAAGAGAAAATATTACTGTACAGCATAATGAAAAACTTCCATCTTAAGTCAATGCAGGATGAAAATGAAGTATTTGGGACTGTTGATGTAATCCATAAATCAATTAATGGAATTAATATAATGTTCACCAGAAGATAAACAAAAACTTATCTTGTTTAGTTTAGTTCATTATTTATCAGTAATTTTGAAATAATTTAGATGAAGTATAATAAAAATTAGATAAAAAAATAAAAATTAAATAAAAAATAACTTGATTGGTTTTTTATATGTTGCTATATATATATATATATATATATATATATATATATATATATATATATATATATATATATATATATATATATATATATATATATAATGAGCAAGATACATAGATAAGTATAGAAATGATATATATATATATATATATATATATATATATATATATATATATATATATATATATATATATATATATATATATATATATATATATATATATATATATATATATAGTTACATTTTAACCTAACTCTTATGCTACCTTTTTTTTAGTGTTTTTTTTTTTCAGAAGTACTAAAATAGTTGAACTTTAATCCTTCATTGAATTTTTTTATATAAATTTTTTTTTACATTAAATTTATAGTTATAACTTTCAGTTAGTTTGTGTATTCAGTTGTTTGTGTATTCAGAATATTTAAAATAATGCTTTTTTATTTTTTTAAATATATTCTTGTAGCTGTTGATTAGGAAATGTTGATAAGTAAAAACGTCACCCAGATATCTTAGTCTAAATAGGCCCCTTTGGGCTTGAATTATGCTGTACACTTTCTCTCTCTCCCCCCCCCCCCCCTACTTTTTTTAAAGTTTTTTTTTAGAATTATCAAGATATAGAAGCTTATTTTAAAAAATTGACGATTGTGTCCTTCTCCCCCGACTTCAAAACCTGTGACGTCAGCTCTGCACCTAGAATATTTGTGGTATCATACAAACATTTGTATAAAATGGTACTGATATCATTCATAGATTAGTCAATCAATTAGTATATTATTCTCTCTCTGTATTATTTATAATGAGTTTAGTATTCTGTTTTGATTATATATATTAGGGTACTTCTAAAAATGAAACTATCAGGATAATATACTCTGACCTCAAGTATATGATGTTAGTCATAGAGTTGCTGTATAAAAAAATTTGGCTAAAAATAATTATATATATATATATATATATATATATATATATATATATATATATATATATATATATATATATATATATATATATATATATATATATATATATACTAGGGTGGTCCTTAAAACAACTTTTTTTTTTAATGTTTGCTCTCACCCTCTAAAAAAATCACCTTTTGAAAAAATAATGTTTTTAGCGGTGCCATAAGTACCTTGAACATCAGACCTATAATTATCAAAAAAAATTGTTTTTCAAAAGTATATTATGTTGGTTCTCAAAAGAAGCAAAATTATATAAAAAACTTAAAAATAATCATTATTTTATAAAAAAAAAAGATTTAAAAAAAAAAAAATCAAAAAATCTTGTTAAATTCCCTATTTTTCGATATTAGTTAAAAAAAACGTCATTTTCTGTTCACAAAAATCTAAAATATTTTTTTTTTATGAAATGATGATTATTTTTGAAATTTTTATATAATTTCGCTTTTTACTCTTCACGTATTTGGAACTACCAAAAGATCATCTTTGTCAACTTGGATACTTATTGCAACAGTCTCAGATGCTATATTAATACCTTGTAACTAACATCGTCAGACATTTAAAAATAAAAGTATAATTTTCATGGCTACAAATAAGTTATTCCGAATGATACCTTTTAGAGTTTTAACTTATTGAGTTTCAGAATTGGCTTATTGTGGTAAAATAATTATTACTCGCGGTGAGTTTTTATCATCTTTTTGTTTCTTTTTTTTTTTTTTTTTTTAATTTAATATTTTCACTTCCAACAAGGCTGCAAGCAACCGCTATTAGAGTTAGAAGTTACTGGAAGAGGAAAGATAAAGTTTATAGAGCATAATCTGTCATAATATATCAGATGTTTAATAATATCATCGTAAAAACTTACTGAACTCTTGTAGAACTCTAATAGAAACTTACTAAATATTATTCAGTAATACCGTCATAATAAGTTGGGTTTGTTTTTATACAATAAATTGCTTAAAAGATAGTATACCCTTAAAAAGAATTTAGGATAACATCTTAAAAACTCCATATAAATACACATAAGATAGTCTAGAAGGACTTGAGATTAGACTTTTGCTCATATTTGGCCTAAATTTATTCATTTTTTGGTTCCATACATTGTTATATGTTTTTATGCACCTAAGGAGTATTTTTAACCAAAAAAGTTATTTGGGCCAAAAATGGGCTTAAGTTTTGTTTTACAACGACTATATTTTAGTAAAATAAACAGTAATTTTTAATTTAAATAATTTTTCTTTACTAAACCTAATTTAAAGAAAAAATCTAAAACCCTAAAATAAAAAATAACCTAAAAAGAAAATAATAAAAACAAAAAAAAAATAACCTAAATAAAAGTAATATTTAAAAATTTCGCGAGTTTTGGTCCGCAGAGGTTTGTTAATGACTTAAATCAAAACTTACGCAATTTTCCAACTAAACGAAAGTGAATCACTTGAAAGTTTCAGTTTATCTTTTAATAATATTGAATAGCTTTAAGAATAGTTTTTTGTATTTTTGTTTATTACGACTAACTTTATTATTGGTTTTTGATAACTTTGTTAAAGTTCTTTATTAACTTATTACTATTCTAAGAACAGAACACGGAAATAAATTTGAACTTTAAAGTAGTTATTAATAATTGAACCCGTCATTTCGAAAAGGGCACAAGTCACACTTTTTTCAAATTTCACTTTTTAATGCAATTTTATTTATTCAAGTGTTGTACGTATTCCATTTGAAGGAGAAACATTTTCATATGCCACAAGTCAACTTTAAATGCAAATGAAAATTAAAGTCTGTTTGAAAATGGCACAAGTCCCGGGCTTATGTCTTTTTCAAGTGAAACGAAGCGCAACTGTAGTGACGTAATTTCACTTTATTTGTAACAAAATAGGAAAATCGCGAACTTGCTGAAAATGCATATTGATCTACAAAAAGAGTGTCTGGTATAAGAAACAGTGGAAATTGTAAACACGAAAAAATAAAAAAAGTCAAAATTGCTGGAGAAGCTTATAAAAACCACAAAGAAAATGATGTGGCACCAAGTCAAACGGGTGCTTCTTGCAGGTTAGTTTTTTGTTCTTTAGAGTATGACTATATTCGTTCTCAAATTTATGCTTATTTACTCATGTTTTACCACCAATAATTGGAGGTAAAACTTGATATATAATTATTATAATATTACTTCAATAATTCTATTTTTTTATTATGTAATTCAAAGTGTATGGAGCTTGTATCTGAATATTTTATAGAAAGTACAATTCAGTTTGTTAACAAATTTGATTGTAAAAATGCCCAAGACACATACTTGCAGTCATTGATTGAAAAGAAGGAAATAGAGAGAAGATGGTTTAGATCTAAAGAACCTAAGAAAAAAGAATTTTCTTTTATTTATCACATTAAGATTGAAGCTGTGATGAGAAAAGTACGCAAGAAAGCTTTTTGCTGTATGCGTGGAATTTCTATGAAACAAGTTAGACGTTTATGCATTTTATTTAAAAAAAAAAGAGCAGCCTTTACATTACAGAGGTAAATCTCAGTGAACACGATGCAACGCCTAACCTGGAGATACATTAACAAAAGTACGTGAGCATATCCAAACGAAGTATGTACCCTTGTGCTGAATTATATTTTAAAAAATATTGGCAACAAAGCCAAAGAACTGCACCTATTTTCTGATGGTTGTGCAGGCCAAAGAGAAATCATGCCATGGTCCGAATACTTTTATCACTGGTAGCTGAACTAGATAGCAATATAAATGAGATACAATATTACATACCAAAAAGAGGTCACTCATTCTTGCCAAACGATAGAATGTTTGGAACAGCAAAGCGACATTCGAAAAAATGATCGGATTTACACACCAACAGAGTATGAAAATCTTATAGCTGAAGCAAGCGAAAAAATTGAAATTAGAAGGCCCAAAACTAAAGATATTATTGATGTAAAAAAATGATGACCAAACCATTACAAGAAACTTGTGCTATCTGTGGATTCCTATGGAAAAGGAGTACGCAAGGACAAAAAACTTACTTTTGGTATTTCTAAAATCTCACATTTCACATTCTCTAATACCACACCAGGTTTAGTGAAAACACATAGATTGCTTAGTCAGTTATAATTTCAAGCTATTACAAAGGATGGGTATTCGGTCAACCATACCCTTAAGTAGTACTCCTGCATATGTTGGAAAATTGCCTATCAATGAAAAAAATATATCAGATTTGAAAAAATATGAAAAAATATATTCTATATTCAATAGAAGAGTACCAAAACTTTTATACAAAGGTTTTTGCTTCGCCAACAACTTCGGCAAACAATGAATTCCAAGAAATTAGTGATGATTACCTAACAATAATTGTTTTTATGTAATAATAAATCATTATTATTCTGATAATCTTTGTTTTTTTATATACAAAAAAGCGTTCATTCCGAAAAAGACTTAAGTCCATAAATTTAAATTAGATATATATGTGTTATATATTATTTTTTTATAACAAATAAAACTCTAAAAACTTATGTATGACTTTTATTTATCTACTCTTATCTTTAGTTTCTTTAGCACCATAAACTTTTTTTCTAATAAACTTATTTTTGTTGATCCTGAAAAGTTTAAATAAATGGACTTGTGCCCTTTTCGAAATGACGGGTTCAATTATTATATTATAATAATGTAATTTATATAATTACACTCAGATCTTTACGTTTGTAATAGAAACTAAAATGCAAAAGTAGATTGTCGAACACAATGTATAAATAAAAAATAAAAAAGAATAAAAAAGTTTGTTAATTGACTATGATAGCCAATCATATCCAATTACTTTTTATAAAACTACCCGAGTATTTTTTTTTATTATTGATTGAATGCATTAAAAAACTTAAAATTGTTTATTAAGATTTTAGTTGAGTAGCGCGCCAATTAATTCAAAATTCGTTGTCAAAATTTTCATAATTTACTGTGGAATTTTTCGAAAATATATTAAAGTTGCTATATATTAAATTAGAAAATATATGCTAGAAAATATATTAAAGTGCTATAATCTAGAATTTATTGAAGTTAGTTTTCAAGAGATTGAAATATCATCTGAATCAAAAAATTTCATAGAAAATTTTGAAATTTTAAACCTATTTAGGCTAGAAAAGCTATATGATAGCATATGTAGAACATTTTACATTAATTGAACAATGTTATGACCATAACATTGTTCTATTAATTAAAATATTCTTTTCATATACCTAGTACAAAAATATCCAAATTTTAAATGCTGTTTCATTAATTGCCTAATTTATTTTGGCTAAAAACAATTAGGAGATTGTTGGGAGAGTCCCTTAAGAATGTGAGTATGTATTTGAAAAAAGCATTTATGTTGTAATAAATTAAGAAAATTATTAAAGAATGTAAAAATAATTTTTTATGTATGAATGTATAAATAATTTTTTATGTGTTTAATTTTTTTTTAGCTTCTTAAAAATGGTATCAGTTTTTTATATATTATTTAGTGGACTTGTTTTCTATGTTGTTAGTAAGATATTGTGGAAGTTATGGAGAAATTCATATGGTTTATCATCAATAGTTACACCTCCAAATGTACCATTTTTTGGAACATCTTTGTACTTGCATAGTGATGCCCGCAAATTTTTTTTCCAACTATATGACTACACAAGAAGATATGGCGATGTGTTTTGCATTTGGTTGGGGCCAAAACCAGTAATATGTTCTTCCTCTGTAAAATTCTCAGAAGCAGTATTAAGTAGTCAGAAAGTTATCACCAAAGGATTTTCTTATGATTTTTTGCATGACTGGTTAAAAACTGGGTTACTTACAAGCACAGGATCAAAATGGAAAACACGTAGAAGGCTACTAACTCCAAGTTTTCATTTTTCTATACTCAATAACTTTATTAAAATATTCGAAGAGCAAGCATCCATTCTGGTGGACAAACTAGCTGTAGCTGCTGACAACAAGGAAGTTGTAGATGTGCAAGTACCTATTGGTTTGGCAACCTTGGATATAATCTGCGAAACTTCAATGGGTGTAAAAGTAAATGCACAAAGTCATCCAGATTCTGAGTATGTTAAAGCTATCACAGTTTTAAATGAAGAAATTCAAATGCGTCAAAAGTTTCCTTGGCTTTGGTTTGATGCCATTTACAAACTGTTGCCTTGTGGGAAAAGGTTTTATAAGGCTTTAGATGTTGCTCATAAGCTATCTTTTGATGTAATAAATGAACGCATGCAAATGAAAATTCAAGAATCTTATTGTGAGACTGCGTCAGATGAAAAGAAATTTTTTTTAGATTTATTGTTAGATATATATCGCAAAGGTAAAATTGACACTGAAGGTATTCAAGAAGAAGTTGATACTTTTATGTTTGAAGGTCATGATACAACTTCAGCTGCACTAGGTTGGACTCTTTGGTTGTTAGGAAAAAATCCAGATGTTCAAAAAAAGCTGCACAAAGAAATTGATGAGATAGAGTTAAATGGAGGTTCACTTTATGATAAAGTCAGACAGTCTAAATACCTTGAAATTATTCTTAAAGAATCATTACGAATGCATCCTCCTGTCCCTATGTATGGAAGAACAGTTGAGGAAGATATGACTATTGATGGTCAGTTTGTTCCCAAAGGAGCACAAATAGTTCTTTTAGTTTTAATCTTGCACTCAAACCCTGATTATTGGGAAAACCCAAATGATTTTATACCTGAACGTTTTGAAGCTGATAGTTATGAAAAGCGCAACCCATACAGTTATGTACCTTTTTCTGCTGGACCAAGGAATTGCATTGGCCAAAAATTTGCCATGATTGAAGAGAAAATATTACTGTATAGCATAATGAAAAACTTCCATCTTAAGTCAATGCAGAATGAAAATGAGGTTTTTGGTACTCTTGATATAATTCATAAGTCAATTAATGGAATTAATATAAAGTTCACAAGAAGATAAAAAGTTGATTATATTTGAAATATTAAAAATTTTCAGTTTTATTAATAATTTTAAATTAGTATGAATACACTTATAAAACGATCTAGTTGTGTAAAAAAATCTCAATGTTTGTGTGTGTGTGTGTGATAATTATTAATATCGCAACAATAATTTTTAATTAAAAAATAATTAACTATAATTAATAACAATTCAGGGGTTGTAATCCTAAAATAATCAAATAAAATATATTTTGTATATAATTTGTGCAATTAAATGAAATAAAATTTTTAAATTATAATATGTAACATATTAAATAATGTATGGTTTTTTTTATTCCTTTTTGATCAAATATTAAATATAATTTGTCATGACATGCTTACTTTAGAGTACATTTAACTGTAAACATATTTCGCTTTAGTTAAGTTGTATATATTCTGGTATAAATACTGTAGTGTCAGGAACAAGCTGTTTGTGATTATTCTGATATGAAATTTCCAAGATTTTTAAGATTTTACTTTGGATTGTTTATATTTTTCAAAAAGTTCAAATTCAGATATTGTTTTGAAACCAGATTCTAAAAAGAGGATAAAAATACTGTCTGAAAATATAAAATTTTTATAAATAAAGCAAATAAGCAATAATTCAAAATAAATCTTTTATCGTTGTATCGCTTAAGAAAATGTCCAAATTTTGTTTTTTGCAAACTTACTGATTCATTTTAGTACTTTTAATGCATTTTGATATTTCTAAAACTAATTTATTTTTAAATAATGAAACGCAATAATTTAAAATATTTTGTTAAAAAAAAATTTGAAAAATAATAATTTTTAGCTGAGATATAAGGTTACAGACACAACTGTCCCGTTATGTCCCACTGTCCCGATATGCCCGACACTACCGACACTACCCTAATTTTGAAAAAAAAATTAAGCTATTTGTTTAAATATATTTCTTAGAATACTTTAAAACTAGCTAGTTTATCGATGCCTCTTGATCTAAAGTTCAAAAGCTTGAATATAATTTTTTGTTTTTATTATGCTGTATTCCAATGCAGGGCCATCCGGAAGAGATCTTAAACGTATCTGTTTTTTGCCGAAAAAGGCCATGAAAAACTTTTTTTTATATAGATATAGAGGAATTTTTTTAGAATTTGACATGTGCCCCCACTTTAAAACCTGTGTCGTCGGCCCTGATATTATATATATCTCTAACACAATCAGGTTTAAAACATTTTAATAAAATGAGCTGAAAAATTGAATTCATATCATTATTGGATTAGTATGTACCAATAACATTTTCAAATTTACGCTTTCTTAATCAACATCCAAAAGTGTTATGATTGCCATAGAGACATACATTTTTATACGAACTACCTATGCATATTTAAATTCTTAATTACAAAACGACCTTAGCTTCCCGCCCCTCTTTTTTTAGGAGTAGGTCCCTATCAATTGCTCTATTCCTAATACACTTTATAAGCATTTTCTTGGCACATAATGCATCGTAAAGCTCAATATCTTCTAAAATTTTTTTTTCAACATCTTAACTTCCAACAAGGCTGCAAGCGATCACTAGTAGAGTTGCAAGCAAGATAACGATTAACAGGCATCTTAATATATTGGAAATTAAATAAATCAGGAAAACAAGGCGAAGAAAGCAAATTCCAAAGAACTGATGTTCAAGGAAAAAAACTAGACAAATAAAATTTTTTTGGAGAACTTAGGAACAGTCGCAGTAACAGGATCAGACTTAATTGAATGACGAGTAACAAATAAATGAATTTTAGTATATGACACAAGATATGCTAACTCTTTATAGCAAAGCCTATTATAGTGTTTATAGAAAAGAGAAAAAGAAGCAACATTACGACAATGTCGTAATGGTAGGAGGTTAGCTACAAGAGCAGGTCCAACTATGTTTACAATGCGCTTTTGTCTAAAAAGAGAAAATACATTATTGGAAGATCCTCCTCTGACATGGCAACAGTATTCCATACAAGGACGGATTTGAAATTTCTAGAGGTAAGGAATAGATACCTGAGTAAGAAAGTGTTGTGCACTATAAAGAGATGCATCCTTAGTAGATGCTAATTTTGCAATCGATATGGTTTCCTAGAAAGATTGGAAGTAAGAGTTAATCCTTAAAGATGAAGGGTTGATAACTCATCAAGTAGATTACTGTTCATAAATATAGGATGATCTAGATTATTGCAATAACAATTAGCTGGAAAATTTTTTATCTGAGTTAAAGTTCACCAGCCCCTAAAAGCCCCATGTTGTAGTAGAAGTGAGATCCTTTTTAAGCTCAAATGTCCTTTCCTAGCAATCAGAGAGTGTTGGTTTCTCATCTAGAAATGAATAAATGGTAGTATAATCAGAAAACAATACCACCTTAGATATGAGAATTTTCGGGAAATCATTAATGTAAATTAAAAAGAGTATAGGGCCAAGGATAAAACCTTAAGGAACCTCTGAAGTTACAGAGTATAAAGAAAAGTGCTGTTCATCTAAATCCTTTCCATTCAATTATTCAGTTTTATTACGATTTGTAAAGAAGGTTCAATAATCTTAAAAATGTTACCTGATACACCGTAAGAAAAAAGCTTATGGAAAAGACCAATATCCTAATCTTTACCAAAAGCTTTATAAATTTTGAGAGTGATAGCCTAAACCTCACCACCTATATCTAAAATCTAATACCGTACTTTCTGATTATCAATATAAATTTCGATCTTCTCTTTCTACTGCTAATTGTTAGCGGTAATGACTGATTTTTTTAGTGTTTCTACTGCTAATTGTTAGCGGTAATGACTGATAGGTTTTATCGTGCATAATAAAACCTATCAGTCATTACCGCTAACAATCAGTAATAGAGAGATAAAATTGAAATCAATATTGATGATCAGAAAGTAAGGTATTTAAACGAGTCAGATCGCTCTCCAGAATTTTTGAAAAAAAAGAATAACAGATGCAGCTTTAATTCAGGCTGGAAAACAAGACTTTGACAAGCACTTGTTAAATAGTTTTGAAAGTATAGACAAATAGTTTTGTAAGTATAGTTCCGGAGAACACTTCTACAAGACTATAACATGTATGTTGTCTAGACCATAAGCTGTAGAAAAGTCCAAGCACGAAATCATTTAAGATACAGAAGCTGGAGTGATACAAATGTCATGCAATGGAACAACCTGTTTGTCCGTTATATCATGTAGAACATGACTAGTGGAATCAAGAGATGATATTGATGAGAAGTTCTTAGCAATTAAATTTAACTTTGTCTTTAGACGAGGCGATAAAATCTGAACCAACTAAGAGGGTGGAATACCAGGTTTGTCTTTATTATAAATACTGTCAAATACTCTCCAGAAGTCTTGAAAGCCTAGTTTTTGAGATAAAATACGAAATGTTTTGACCTGAGAATAGCGGGCTTTGTTATTAGACAAAACCTTTTTATAATGATTTCTAACAATAGTAAAAAGACGTCTGTTTTCTGGAGAGTTAATTTGCTGAAAGATACGAAATTAATGGTTACGAGTGGAAATTGAAACAGCTCAATGAGAGGAAAGCCATGGAGAAGAGTGAAGCTTGACTTTGAATCTTCTAGAGGGAATAAATAATACTATCCCAGCCTGAATCCAAAAAATTACATAAGAAGCAGATTTGTCAGCAGGAAGACAAAGGATTTCTACCCAAGGGTCATCACAAAAAAAATCACGGAAAGAGTCCCACTCAGCTTTAAGTTAGTTATAAGAGGTACAATGATAAAAGGATTCTAATGATGAAAAAGAATAAGATGATAGTTTTAGAGAGATCAAATCGTGATCAGAAGTACCTAAGGTTGATTGCGGAGAAACTGAGCACCGACTAGGATCAGAAATAAGACATATGTCGAGAGAAGATAAATGATTCGGGTTGTCTGGAAAGCAAGTTAGAAAGTTGACTATTTGTGTTAGAGATTGAGAAAGGCAAAAATTGTGGGTCTTAACGCCTGCAGAGTCACTGACACTAGAACTAAGTCATTCAGTGTGATCAGCATTTAAGTCATCAACAACAATGATTATTGGCTGATATAAAGATAAAGAGAAAAGGCTTGGTCATTTTGATCAGAAATAACATCAAAAAGAGTGTTACTTAATAATCCGAGCAGTTGCCTCATTAATATTATTAAACCTTAAGCTGTAACAAAGGACTCTAAATGTGGCCTCGATAATCACACCAAAAGTACAAACAAGGACACCATCCAAGCATATCATGGCACTGTTAGTACTCTGATATTTTACAGCTCTTGATGGAACCAGTCTCTCTGAGATCTACTACAGAATTTGGGAAACCATACTACCAGTCGTAATTAGAACCATCTTAGAACCAATCTTAGAGTTACATGAGGAGATAATAGAATGAGTTCCCTAGTCATAAAAACAGAGACACAGGCAAAACTCATACATTTAGTCAAGAAGGCCCAGCATTCAACATCTTAAACTGGAAACAACGTATTATAAATACATCTACGTTATCCTAATAGATAAAGAAGGGGTGCAAAGACAAAGAGTTAAGGGGAAACAAATAGAATCTGTTTTTCCCTAAAGTTTTTGCCTAGGGAGGCCTTTTACAAAACAGTAAACGGATGCGTTTAACATCTGTCTAAAATAAGTATTTTTATCGAGTTGTTATATAACTCTTATCCAGTTTGCTAACACTGGATAAGAGCAACTCAATTTTTTTAAAACTTTCTTTCTTATAGATGAGATTAAGCTTCTTTTCTAGTCTTAGCTTTTCAGCAGCCTTGTTGTATGCTGCTTTAGTTCGAAGATCTGGTTTAACACTTGCTCTTGACAAAAAGTATCTTTTGTGGCTTTTCCTTTTTTTGTAATGTTATTAACAACGCTTATTGAACGAACTTTACAGCTCTCTTGACAACATTTTCAACAACTGCCTAAAAAATGCTTTGAAATCAGAATCATTCTACGCATTATATTTAGATAACTGACAAAACATAAATGAATCCTTCACTTTTATTCGACCACACTACTATGCTGAAAAAAAAAAATACAGTAATTTAACAGCACACGATGGCTAATTTCTTTTTTATTAAAATTGGGGCTCTTCTCAATGGCGTCGAAGGTCTTGGAAGTTGGGGAAGGGGGATTGAAGCAGCCATAGTTATAGACTTGAGTGTTAAATTGACAGTAAACCCTTTATTTTATTTTTTTTTTGGTGGAGGAGATAATAACTCTTCTCCCCAACCACAACCCCCTACCTCAATTGTCAAGTCTATGGCTCTACCCCTGATTGTTTTTTTAAGAATATATATATATATATATTTTCATATATATATATATATATATATATATATATATATATATATATATATATATATATATATATATATATATATATATATATATATATATATATATATATATATATATATATATATATATATATATATATATATATA